AAGTCAGCACAGAGGCTTGGCTTCTTTTGAAGTAAGACCGGGTCATTAAGGCACGACCGTTTACTGCCTAGTTCAAGTGTGCGTGCACATACTTAGCCCTGGAGCACAAAGGACCTGATGCAGCTTAATGATGAGGCCGATGCAGTCGAAATCTGGCGTTGACGAGGACGGAAGTGTTCCGTTCAAGATATTTGCAATGAAGTGGTCCGTCCAGAGGGTTTTGCCTACCGCTTCCTGCACAGCAGATGCAGCCGACTTTGAAGCCGCAGCGGATGCCGCAGAGAAGAGCTGCCACGGGTTGAAGTACGCACTTAACCTCCTTGTAACTTGCCACGAGATGCGACTGGCATCTCAGAGGACTCTTCATGCGTTCTTTGCATTGGTTCGTGGCAGACGCTCAAACGGCGTTGCCTGAGACCAGTTCTCGGTCTCAGCGCTGGGGGTGGTATGCCATTCTATGCGAGTTCGCGCCGCTCCTTGCAGCAAAAAGGTGAATAGAATTGATGATATGATGCCTGCTTCGGGCTGCAGCAAGGGCTCTGGAAGAGTTTTCACTTGCAGTTTGGCGGTCAGGGCAGACCTGTGAGTCCTGCGGCTGCTGCTTGGAGTGCGAGAATCCGGGAGGACAGATCGGGACATGTTTCCTTCATCACCATCATCACGCTTCCTTTGCGAGCTCCGTCTGATCTCTGAGTCCCTGGTTATTTTTCTACTCCACTTTACTTCTCTGGCAGGGGAACGCTGGAGCCAAAGGCAGGCTGTTCGAATCAACTTGGATTCAAGCTAACTTCTGCACTGCACATTGTGGCCGCGAGAAGGAGCTCCGGCAAAGGCAAGTCAGCACTGCGTCGGAGCTCGCAGATGATTGAAATCGAGGACGGTGCGGAGCGTTCTGCTGTAATTTGAACTGAGGTTGGGCAGACAGTCTTCGGAATCCTGCTGGTTGGCACTACTTCGACTTCTCAGCCGAACTGCAAAGCTGCCACTTATTGCCAAGCAAGTTCATTGACCGTCGTGTAGACCCTCACTTCCTCCATCTGCTTTCTCGGCCGCAGCACTGACATTCTCCTCGGCAGGTCTGTTTGTTTTGATGCTCAGGCCTCGCCATCGTGTCGCTGTGTCACTCCCTAGCACTTGCGATGAAGCTTGCCATCGGGGCAACATTGGACTGAATCTGCCGTGCCCTGCTCGCGAGCAGAAGCCCGCTGTCCAGTTTTGTTCTCGACTGATGCCGGTATTTTTCCTGGTCATCCCTGCGCAGCATGTCGCTTACCCATCCACCTGAAAAGCGTCACACAGTCTTTTGCCTCGTTTTGGATACCCTCTCGAGACGCTGACAAGGTCTGGGCGCAGGCGTGCAACAACGGGTTTTCCCTGGGTTCTTTGCCCGCTGACGTTTGGGGGTCTGGGAGGGGGGGGGGGGGGAAGAGGCTGGGTTTGTACACTGTTACTGAGAGACGAGCGGCTAGTCCCTGACGAAAGCACAGCCAGCTATGTCGCACATGAGAGAAGCAGGAAAACTGAAGGGCAATTTCGGCCAAAGCCAGGCCTCTGCCTTTGCGTCCTCGTCAGAGGGCAGGACCGCGGCGCAAAAGGCCAACAGCGCAAATGTTGAGTTTACACAGCTGCAGGATGCAAAGACGAAAGGCGGACGTGGGCGTCGACACAAAGTCTTGTCGACTAGCACAGGGGCCATTGGCCCGTACCTTATGTTTCTGAGAGGCCCATTCTGGTTCCAGACTTTGGTGCTGGAAAAAAAGCTTGAGCGGCTTCTGCTTAACTGACATGTATGTGGCAGTACATCTGGATGCTGCCTGCAATTCTATTGGACTCTGGCAATGTCAACGTCGCTGGATCAGGCGGTTTCATGGGTAGTCACATGGTGCATCGTCGCGTCGTCAAGCAGGTAGTCCAGCTCTAGCCCCATTTAGACTCAACAGAATGGCGACCCACATCCTCACAGACTCAGTGGCCAAACTGTGCAAAAGATAGCCACCAACCCATCATCACCAAAGACAACAGTTAGGAGCTGAAGATAGGCCAGCCGAAGTAGAGTAGAAGCATGAGCAAGCTTGTGGGTTTCGACACGCATAAGAATCAAGACGATTGCCTGGGGCGCGTCTTCAGGCACGACAGCCCCCACTTTCGCAATCTTGGGATCCAGTCCTATGCTCTTCGGCATGTCACTCAGGTTTTCAAGTCTGCCCAAACTCTAACTGTGTGGTTCGTTGATTCCCTCGCTGCGCCAGATTGGAGCAGGATAGAGTGTTCATATTGAGCACTGTGTGAGTTCGACCTTCGAGCAGGATACTATCTTGTTTTTGAGGTAGGGTCACGGCAACTCGTATCAGAGTACAGGAATGGCTTGAGAGGAGTGAACAACATCTAAGTTAGTGCTTCCGGAATCCGTCTCCCTTGCTGTTCGAATCTGGGAGAAGTGAAGGTGAGCAGCTCGTTTGCCAGAGATTGGAGAAGAAAACGAGCTGAGTCCATCACTAAAACCCTGCATTCGAGTCTTGTCGGAGAGTTCTAGGCATATTTCGACTACATATAGAAGAGTGTTTGGACAGGCTTGCCCAGCCTGAACGTGCCAGGCTCAACACCCGGTTACAGAGATTCAGGCCAAGTTGGCTAGCAGGCAAGCTGAACATAGCTGAACCAGTAAAGCTTGACCAAGAGAAAGCCCTCCACCCCCCGAGTTCAGCTACTTTGCATCGTTGACTCCATGGCCGCTCCAGCTGCCAAGTTTCAGGCAGCCTGTTGCACAGCCCTTCGGGTGGGGCAGAGGTGGGCAACGGGCCCACAAACACAGCTTGCATTGCCGCGAGGCGACGCGAGGAGACATGGGGAGACAATTGTCACCACTATCAAAGAAGCAACGGAGGCGGCAGAGAATGCATGCAAGACAACGCAATGACAGCCCAATCGGAGATCCACCGGGGCATTCAATGTCACCCAAGGCTGCTGCAGAGCTGAAGGTGTGAAGGTGTGGTGGCTCGCGCATGACGCATACTGAAGGACCTATTCGCAGTCAGGTTTCAGAGAGAACCCAAGGCACCGAGCCAGAAGCCTCGAAGATCGCAACACTGGACCCTGTGGACTTTGCTCCCTGCACCACCGGAGCGCTTATATGTGTATGTGTGCCGTAGTTCAGTCCCGTGTCCCGAGCAAAGGCTGGAGCCGTTCGGTGAAAAGAATGCACCAGTTTGATAATCGATTCCTTTGGATACATTCCAAGCCCACCGGCGTGCTCCGTTCGGATAGGAAGGGAACGGGGAACTGGTGTCCGCTTCATCTATGAGGCTGCACGGGGGCTCCCAAATCCTCTTTGGGTTCGTGACAATGCTCTAGATTGCAGGACAACCTTTCCAAGGCAAACAGGTCGATTTCAATCGGAACGCAGGATAAGCTTAGAAGATTTCTATCGCTAGACTATGCCGGACTCGCACCGTATCTTCTAGCCCATGTTTGCCCTCTACCCCAGCCTCTGGATTCGATTGGATGCCATCACGCACTGAAACCTCTTTGCAATTTTCCACTGCATCGCTATAGGCCCGAATCCCGTTTTTTGTTTTTCTATCGGATTGTCGGTACAGGAACCTCACAGTCCTGACGAGCCGCTGACCAAGGATTTGGAAGTAGTCCTCCAACCTGAACCCCGCGTGAAACGGTACAGAGGTGCCGGCTACTGCAGTCTCATATGTTCTTGGCTCACTTCGAACTGTCAAATCCTGTCGGTATGCCTGACTTTCGAACCGTCAAATCCTGTCGGTATGTACTGTGGTATGCAACTCCGATACACCTGAGTCGCTGCCGCGACATTGTCCGCGATATTGTTTTGAACAAACAAGCCAAGTCATAGGTGCAAGTACCATGAGCAGCAGCATACCGACCACGGCCAACGGCGACTGTAGCGGTGGTGCAACAGCGATCACCGCGACGGCTACCACCAAAGTGAAGAAACGGGAACCCGACAGGGCAGAAGCACGGAAGCAGGGCCATGGCCTCGCAGACACGGAAAACGGGGGACAGGGGACCTGCTCCACTCGTTCCCAAAATCTGCAAATTGAATGCAGATGCCTGCGGCGTACCGGCATCCCGCGCCGCAATATCCATGTCTGCAGCGGGCTTGGCAAGAACATGGTGTGATCAAGAAGCAGATCGGTATGGGCGACTGCTGCGCGCAACTCTCAACATGAGTGTCTCATGATTTTCGCACGGTAGACGCAGATGTGGCCGAGGTCTGCCGAAGAAGCAGCAAGTCGTGCAGACGATCATGGACGAAAGCTGCACGAGCATCTCGGCTGATTCGGCACAGCAGTATGCAAGTATTCTGCATGCCAGCAGCATCACAGATTTGACAACTATCCGAGCAGTACCCCCTGTGTGAAGTACTGAGAGTCGCAGCAGCCGTGCGCGGCTTCAAATTCCGTGTGTGGGACGTTGAGTGGGTGCCGTCTAGAGGAGCCTCATGGAGCCTCCAAAGTCCAACCACAGCCAGATGCTGTCTGTGAATCCTCCAAAAGGACCACAGAGGCTGCAACGGGTAGGAATGTGAACAGGCAGCCTTTCCGGAGTGCATTATGTGGTTCGGTTTTACAGGACTACCACGTCCATCTGTCTTTGTGCATGAACCGATCAAGCAGAAATCGATTTTTCTGCCGGACCGGCACAATGTTGCATCGGCAAATCCTGCTGTCCTTTCGGCACCGGAACTGCAGTACGGCACAAATGGACTAGGTAGGGCACATGCCGGCGGGCATGTCGTGCGATATCAGCACAATGGCACACCGGTCTAAAGCAGCTTTCGGATATCGATCGCCTGTACGATCAGATATGGACTTTCAAGGAAGCAGGCAAGTCACTGCTCTCGAATGGTGCTTTCCAAGGTTGAAATGGCTGTACCTGGACAGTGTCGGCCAGGACGACGTCCATGTTGGGACATGGGTGGACTCGTGAGACACACTGGCCAGGAGTTCGGACCGCTTTCAAGTGGGACCATGCAAGAGGCCCCCGATTGAGCCAAGAGTCGAGCCAAACGCTCTGGGCCCCTGCACTCCAGTGGCTGACCATGGGCCGCTTCCCCGTCGGACTTGATCTTCGTGTTCGATTGCCCGAGCTCAAAACTGAGATTTCTGAGATTGCATGCGATTCCTTTGGGGGGGGCATGTCCGGGCTTTGCAGCCGGAGGAGGCTCAAAACATGTTGTATTGTGAAACACAAGCAACGCCGTCTTCGGCGAGAGGACCTGTTTTTCGCAAGGGCTGAGCCTCAAGAGCTGCCAAGAGTCAAGGTCTCGGTCTGACGTGTGCAGGAAGGAATGCATGTAGCGCTGTGTGCGCTTGCGATCGCCTGTGATGCTGCGCGCGATCCCGGCGAGCAGCATGTGGCCAAGCGGTGGGGAGAGATGAAAAGGCGCGATGCGATCGAGCCGCAGCCTCTAAGGAGCAGGCTTCGAGAATCTCCTTGGGCACTGCTCGAGACAGGCACATTTCGGCATGGCACCCTCCCCCCCCCCACCACCACCTTAGCCACCTGGTGTTTGCTTGTGCTGGTTTGGGAGGCGATTCTTTTTGGACCCGTCACGCTCACAACATGTATGTCGAGAAGGCACTTTCCTTTCCGCGCCTCATCTCGACGACTCTGGGACTCTAGGGCTGCGAGTGCCGTGACTTGGAGGCACGGCTTGGGCCCGGCGGTCGGGAGACTCTAGCTTGCAAGAGTCAGGCGATCACAGGCCTGGAGTGGCAGGTGCAGGGTAACCCCAAGCAGTTCTGAGGACAGAGACAAGACTTTCTGAGGGTGACCCTGAGAAGGAGACATGGAATGCCTGAGCATTGAGCTGTTGAGTTGGTCTCAGTCTCATCGCCTTTTGACCAGTTGAAGGAGGCCGCAGACAGCGACGGCCTCGACGAGGATGAGGAAGCGGGTCAACTGTGTTTGAAGTGCTCGTCCTTGTTGACGTCATGCCACCAGGAAGACGAGGATGGTGCAGAGGGTGAGAAGCGATACCAGGTGTCCTTGTATGCCCCTGACCCATCCAGCATCTCAATTGAAACCGCTGAGGGGCTTGCTATCTGTGTTCTGAGCTTGTGCAGGATTTGCCGGAGCTGAGTGAGGAAGCATTCAACAAGTACAATGTGTGCCGGCTGCAGCTCATGCACTTCTGCAAATACCATCAAGCATCCTGAGTTTTCTAGGCGCTTGCTGCAGATGATGGGCCTGTGGCCTCGGCTATCACTGCAGCCGAGACGGCAGCAGCCACGGCGACTAAGTTGCGATTCTTCCGTATTGGAAGCTTTGAACTTGCCGTCAGCATCCGGATGAATACTTCCTTCTCGAATCCTGAGGTAAAAGAATCAGCGGTCGTGTGGAAGATGACTGAGGAGGTGCAAAGAGTTCTGGAATGCGGCCGTTGCGGCGAGAAAGTCTGACTCTCCACAGATCGAGACTCATGGTTCCTTGCGAGGACCTTCAGGAAGCTGCAGGAGACGTGAATGCAGCAACGAAGAAGTCTGAGGAGGAGACGCGGCTGCAGTTCGAATCCATGGATCGGATCGCTGATGCTGTCTGTTGCACAGGATGTCGCGAAGGGCGACCGCATCCTGTATGACTTGAAGGTGAGCCTTTCTCATGTCTCTGTGTGTCGGTGCCTAGGGTGATGACAGGATGATAGGTGTGATACGGCTGATAAGGATGACAAAAACAGTAGGGACGATCCATGCGATAAGAGTAAGCGACTGGCTTACAGCTCTCAGTGAGCACCTCTGCATCAAAACTTGAGAGCTTGGGTGCTTTTGTGTTTATGTTGAGGTTCATGGTGCTGCGATTACGATTCAGGGGTACGGTTTGTTCGTCTGGAGATTCAGCTTGCTGGCCATCAGAAGCTCATGTTTCAAGGTTGGGGGTTTGTCAACCATCACCGGCTTTTGAATTCCCAGCCGGGTTCAGTGTAATCTTGATGCGCCACGTCGTGCGCGGAGTGACGTGTACGAATGACAGTATTACTTGCAGCAGACTCCTTGTTTTTGCTCACGCAACCTCTCGCGGCCCCGTGCCAAATGCATGTTTTTAGACTGTTCAGGGTTCTTGCCTGCTTCCAAAGCGCGGGTGGGGGGGGTGGGGGGGGATGATGATATGCATTGTCAGCTTCATTAAGTCTTAAACCCACAATCCTAAGGCACTACTACTACTACTACTCCTCCTCCTCCTGCTGCTGCTGCTGCTGCTACGACTACGACTACGACTACTACGACGACGACGACTACTACTACTACCACTACTACTACTGCTACTACTACTACTACTACCACTACTACTACTACTACTACTACTACTACTACTACTACTACTACTACTACTACTACTACTAGGAGCAGTGCGACTTCCTGCACAAACCTCAAAGATCACTTTGCAAAAGACGCACGACTTACAAAAAACATCGTCTAAACCATACACATGCAAGCCTTCGAGAACACTGGCAGGCGTGTCACTTTTGTTACTACGACAATGTGCTCCTGCTGTCAACTCAAGAAAAAAAGACGATTCCGTGAACTGCATTTATAACCAAGAATGCTGGTATTCGTGGGACAAATGCACGATTTCGCGCGCAAAAACAACGGGGCCACCAGCGGTTGCGTGACCTTGTTTTTTACTGTTTTACCCCCTCTCGCATGTCTCGTCCCTCGGGGCCAAGCTTCCCTTTCCCTTGCTGTGCAGTCCTGGTCTTTGTTCCGAACCCTTCTGGTCTGACCCTCCCATCATGTGGAGCGCGGTCTCAAGATTCTTTCCGACTCTGCTTTTGGTCGAAGTGTGGCATAGCTCGATGTGAACTACAAGATAAATGCACACATATTGATTGATGCATGCCTCATACATTTGCGTTCGTTTATAGTGCATCACTCTTTAATGTTCATGCTCGTTCTCATTCCATTTCCTTCCAGCCCCTTTCATTTCATTCCAGATATTTCCAGATCCTTTATGTAATTCCATTTCCTTCCACTTCGTTTCCTTCTCATCCCATTTCATCCAAGTTCATCCCGTACTCCGCCGTACTCGTGTCGTCACTTCATGCCCAGTTAGATACGCATGGGGGATACGTTGAGAGAGCGCTAGCTGTCTTGGGTGGCCACTGCGATCTGTTCGTGGGATTTCTGGGTCTAGAACCTGGAAAATTCCTCCCTGCTGATGCATGAGGGTGGAGCTTTTCGGAAGGGTTTGGAGCCTTCTTGATTAGGTGCCGTGATTTTAGAACCTTATTGACGGCTTGTTTAAATTGATGCCGTTCGGCTCATGGGGCACAGCACAGCTCCACCCATCCGCCCACCCACCCTCCCACCTGCATCCCTGTGCCATTTGCGTGTCATGACGTCCTTGCATGTCTTTGCTGTGAGGAGGGGTCGCGATGGGTCGCGGTGGCAACACTCTAGACAGGCTTGCAGCGAGCTGCGTGGGACTCCCATGTCCATCAGATGGATAGTTCCATTTTTCTGAATCCCTGTAGCCCAAACGGGGGGCCATGATGGCAATGATCAAGCTTAGCAAGCTGTATGTTCCCTTCCCCGAAATTTTGAAAACGAAGCTGAAGCAGAATTCGTTGAGGGCCTTCCGGCACGGTGCCCTGGAGGGCTCGAGCCTTGCTTGGCGCCACATCGGCCCAAGTGGGATACACGCAGCAACACAGCATCATCAGCATGCATCATCGGATCCGGCTTTGTCCAAGCACGTTTTCGCTTGTGAGGCCCGCGCATGTCGCCCCTCCAGCCCCAAATCTCGCACACAAAGGCTCGAAACTGCCCTCAAAGGATGCTCGCGATGCTAGCCTCGCATTTCCTAGAACACGTCCAAGAGCCGTCCAGGTTTCGCTAGCGCCCGACCCCACAGTGATGCTCTCTCCAACAGGTCGGCAATTGAAGCTACTTGTGTGTCCGCATGATGTAATGCTGGACCATGGCGGCGAGACCGGAAAATGTCCATTCATTCATTGATTGCGTTGCTGCGCGTTCTGCTGGTGGACCTGGTTGGTAAAGAGAGGGTGGGGGGTCTCAATGGCGCTTTGCCCCGCAGCCGAGATCAGTGGATTTTGGAGCGCACATTTCTGCAGAGTCATAAAGATTGATGCTGATGGTTGCGAGGTGCTTCCGGGTTGGTGGCAATTGATTCCACTAGAACGAAGCACACGCTGGGGGCACGTGTCAGTGCTGGTATGCGAGGCCAAGCCTGGAAGAGAGGTGAAGAAGGAGGTTGAGGAAGCCAAGATCTCCGCACCAAATTTTCGCTTTGGTTTTCTCGGGTGCCTAGTTTCAACTTGATGGCTGGAGGAAAATTTGGCACGAATGCAGCAAGAAAGTGGCGACATGCATCTTGGCATTGGGCCGTGGTGTCATTGCACGTCAATGGGTCGTTGAGTCATGTGCTAAGGTGCTAAGACACAAGGGGTGTCATCATGTGTCACACTGAAAGGCCAACGACGACGCCCAGCTGAAGGCCGTGAAGGCTTGTCGCTGTGTTTTCGATGTTTGCTTCCAGTTCGTGGAATCTTATTTCGATGTTCACCAGGTGGCTTTATGGTAGCTGCCGGAGCTGGAAAAAAAAGATATCGCGTGCATGCTGCATGACCGCTTCCGGACTCTCGCCTCTCCGCGTATGCTCCGTTGCTTGACGTGAGGTGGGACCAGCATCTCCCGCTGCGTCAGCTTCAGCCATAGCCTGCATGACAGTTGGATCCGAACTAGGATGCTCCCCAGTGGTGGACCAGGCTGTGCTCTCCCGAGCTGAGGATATTCCCGGATCTTTCAGCAGCCTTTCGGCTACCGCCAGCCTGGCCGGAGGTCGGAGCCTTCGCATGACAGATATGCACAGATCTCTCAGACCTCCTTAAGTTCATTTCGTTCACGGTCATGCTTTCCGCCTGGCCCTCATGCCGTCTCGACCCGGCTCGGACAATGGGAACCGGAGCTTCCCAGTCTGCTCGTCTGCTCACAACCGAGCATGAAGCTGTTGCTGGTGAGGAAACATCAATCGGTCTCGCCCGCTCCAGTCGCGTGTCAAAGCCGTAATGTGTGAGAGCGACCGGCGAAGCCCTTCTTGCAGCTCGTCTTTGCCTTGTCAAATGCAAAAACGATAGCACGATGGCTAACCCCAAGAGCGATACAGCTCCCATGGGCGTTCTGTTTGTAGCAATACCTAGCCCCAAAGGCGACGCCCCTCGTAACCTGTCCTCTTAGCGACTGGCTTTTGCCCTGCTCGTCCTTTTCGATTCGATCAGTGCCGTGCTCTATGCGTAGCTGAAGGCCTGCCAAGAAGGCAAGTCTTCCGGCTCTGGCAGCTTGGAGGTGGAGGCCATAGAAGGTGTGAGCCATCTTTAAAACAATCACCTCCCTGCGATTGGCAGGAACTGCGGCGATGCATCCGTCTTTCTCTGAGACTCCAGGGGATGGTGCCTGCGCAGTTTTCGCGATGATATTCCCCAATCGGATGCCATAAGGTGAGTCAGGACGAATGAGCATGTATCTCAGTCGACGCTATAGACATCTGCCATTGCCAGCAGTAGCTAAAGCTTGGTCGTTTTGAGGTGGGCCATTCCACAATTGTGCGCCCAGCAGGCCTCTGTCGAATCACCAGGTCATGAGAAGAGAAACGACTTGCATGCTGTCCATCTGAGAACCCGTGGTGACACCGCAGTGCCTGCAGTGTCAACTTGGTGAAGAGGGTCAAGTGGGCCCGGGGACTTCAGACCCTGCTCTGCAGAGCAATTTTGCTGAAGGTCTGAGGTGCTGCCTGGAGCAATCCAGACCCTTCGCAGGGTCGATCCAGACCCCCCCACTAAAATGTAGTAAATTCACATACAACATATGCAGACGAAATGACACACTGCCCGACATCTGCACTGGGGGAGGGAATGGGTTTGGCGAGGACGGGGGAGGGGGGGTTGCAGAATAGCATTGCTGGACGGGTCCGGCAAGCCAGGCCAGATCCTTGTCAGCAATCCGGATGGCAGACCTTCGACGATGTGGAGATATGTTATGAGCAATTGACAAGGCAGTGCCCAAAACCAGAAACCCATCCAGAAACCTCAAAGACAAATCCTAAACCCGGCAACCCCAACCCCAAACCCGGAAGCCTTGAAGCCAGAACCCAAGCCCAGAAACACCAAAAGCAGCCCAAACCCGGAAACCCCCAAACCAGAAACCGTGAAGCCAACCCCAGAAATCCTAAACCCAGAAACCCAGAAGCCAGAAACCCCAAACCCAGAAACCCCAAACCAAGAAACGCTGAAGCCGGAAAGCCCAAACCCAGAAAGCCCATATCCAGAAACCCCTGCACTCATGCACGTTTCGGCCGCATTCATGGACGGGGGGAACGGGTCGCCAAACCGGTCCCAAGGAGCGACATGCTGAAGGTGTACAGTAGCAAGTCCAACGGAAAGATATTTCGTTGGACTTACACTTGTTGAACTCTGTCGCACCCCTTAAAAGCTTCTGCAGCAGATTATTATCTCGCCAAACATTTCCTGCGACCCTGGGTCGTTCGAAAGAAAGGCCCATCGGCGGGACGCAAAAGGATTCAAAGAGAGCTATGAATGTCATTGAATGTCTACGCAGCCAGCGATCATGGGGAACCCTTCAGCTATGAACACCCAACCGCCCGCCACTCACCCGCCGGGTGCAAAGGCATGGCACGTCACGAAATGAGATGTGAACTGGCTCAGTCACAAGAGTGAGCAAGGGGCATGAGCGTCAGGATACGTCGAGGCACCACATTATTCCAGGTGGTGTGCTCCGGGGGGAATGGTGAAGTTGTGGCTGTTCGCTGCACCCCTTCCCGTGGCCCTGCACGCAGTTGTAGTTCTTGTCCGGTGCTAGCATCGCTTCATTAAGCGGCGGCATGCGGCGGCATACCCCGCAAACTCACAGCGCGCCAGCACAAGTAGGGGTTGGTTCTATGTTCATGCGGTAGGGGTGTGACGCAGCAACATGCTCTTTACGAGTGACAGCCGTGACCCGTTGCAGCTCTTCGGCATCTCAGGGTGCCCCAGGCTCAGTGCATCTCAGTGCCATGCCTGGCCACTCATGTTCCGAGCAGTGGTGAAAGTGATAGGATAGGCATGTAGGATCGTATCATGTCTTCACAAGCGCGATGGAGCAGAAGACTTAGTGATGCTGTTCCGAGAGAGTTCATGAGCAGGATCGACATGCTGCTTCTACGCATGTGATGTGGCTTCAAACACTGGCTGTAATATCTCATAGTTCTTCTCAAGGAGGAGGAAGTTGTGCTGATATACGGCTCCGTGTGGCACAGCGAAACTGCGATCTGAAAGTGTCGTCGCGGAGCAAGGGCGAGCAGCCAGTGGCAAGTCGCTAAGACCTGAGGCTCAGACCGTGCCCTGCTCCGTCAGCTCCGTTTCGTTCGCCCCTTCTGCCTGTGTCTGAGTGGCAAACTCTTGAAGTCTGGAAAACTCTTGCAGAGTGCCGCAGTACGCAGACACAGATAGCTAAGCACGTTGCCTTGAGGTTTGAATTTGACCAGGTCCATCGATCAATAGTTTCCCGTTGCCGATGCGACCAGCGACTATGATCTGTTGGAATGTGACAACTTTCGTTGTGCGCTGTTTATGTGCTTTCGGCTTTGATGATTGACATTACCTGCTTGTGTTTGTCCTACTGCTAGTGGAACTTTTATGTAAACAGGCGGATCGAGAAATCTGCGTAATCAATTGGCAAATGTCGGAGCTTGCCAACTCAGCTTCTGTTGACGAGCTTCCAGGCTTCCAGCTATTGGGATCAGTGTAGTGAAGATCGGCTTCCTGGGCACCTAGACGCCCAGGAGGATGTTGAGTGAAAACTGCTCTTCGTTTGCAACAGTCTAGATAGCAGTCTTCAATATCACCCGCCCCTGCATCAGAGACCGTTTGGTGCCTCACGAGAGCTTACAGGTTGGAGGCTGGAGGAGTCTACTGCCATTCCTCAATTCTTCAACGGGTCGACGATTCAAACTGAAGGAAGCGTGTTAAGGCAGTCCTTACATCTTGACTCTGGACGTCTAGAGAGTCATTTCCCAGGCCGAGGCAGTCAATGGCGACGCGAAGGCTGTCGAGCCGTTCTACAGAATATGCAAATGTCAGACTGCTTTCTCCGTTGTTACAGTTCGTGAAGTGGCAGCTTCTGCAGCCGGAGCTCTTGTGACGTCCAATATCGTCTGTGCCAGCTGCGCAGGTCTTCATCGCCGATTCTAATTGTGTGGCTTTAGCTTAAAGCAGGTTTGCTGCACTGGCTTTGAACCACAGTGTTGACCAGCACTCGAGGTCGGCGAGGATAGAAGTTTAAGGCACAGCACAGCCGCTAGCCACGCTATGTAGCACTCTTTCTGCTGAGACAGCGGAGATCCATGCACAAAGTCACAAAGGTTCAGTTACGCCTTGGAGGCAAAACACATGCCAGTGACGAAGTGGGTGCTTGCTTTCAAGGTGATGCGGCCGGAGAGAAACAAAATCCCGACAGCTGAACAAGCAAGGCTCGCTCCAGCACACTTGTGTTATTTGGTGCCATGGCACAGAGGTGTTTTGCAGTTTGTGATAGAACCAGATCAACTTTCGAGCATGTTTACACGAAAGGCATCACTTTTCTGTCTCCGCATTCATTTCGGATGGATCGTCCGTCAATGTCTGTCTGTCAATCGGCACCAAGACTGAGGGGAGCACCTGCCTGATTCAGCCGATGGCCACATCACGGCCGTGTCAAGATAGCGGAAACAGAATGCTCTGGTACATGTAGACAAACTCGATGCGGGGAAGCAGTGCGAAGACTTTGTCATGAAAAGCGGGTTTTAGCAGGCTTTTCCTCCCTTGAGGTAAGAGGTTTAGACAGTTTTGTCAACAGTATCTAAGAAGGGTTGTTATATTCATTGAATATGAGAGCACACCTATGTTTCTTTGCTTACGACGTGTGAACTCCGTGAAGTCTCAATTCATACTTAAGTTCAATTACATTCGATAATCTTGACAGTGTGTCGGGCCCTTTGCTTCTCAAATCACGCACACAAAGAAAGAGGGCCCTTTCTCCGTCATCAGTAACAAGAAACAGTAATTGTCACAGCATCTGCCAATAAAGCCTGCACTTGAAGCGGCATGGTAACAAAACTGATTAGGACATGATTCAACTAGTGTGAGCATCTTTACACTGCAAGTAAAACTAGCGTTTATCTTATCTCTTCGTATGATATTCGCGAGTGTATCTAGCTTCTAGCGAAGAACCTCTTGTGTCTTTAACCTTCGTCTACGAAAAGGAGACACGACAGCGAGTGCTGAGAGGCTTCGCTGGATTTAGCACCCAACCTGAACCAAATGGCAGGAGGTAATCCAAAGAAGGGGTCTTACGCAGAGAGCTGGAATAATTGCTTGATCACACTCGTTGGCAAGCTTTTTGCATTGTGGCACAAGTCGATCTAGCAACGAAAGTTGAAGCGTTGGACGGAATTGAGCTTGCTCCGCAGGGATCTTGCGACTGCAAAGCCCCCGTCCTTGCCCCAGATGCACATGTTTTCATCCTTCTTTTCTGTTTCTTGCGTGACACGGCGTGATGCCACTGTTGTATAGTGGGCCAGTTGGGGGGCCTGGAACTGCTGTTTCTGCTTTGGCGTAGACGAACAGATCAGCAACCAATGGAGATCAACATCAATGGAAATCTGTCGGTATGTCGTTGTCAGGGACTCGCTGCCGCTCCCGCCGCGTGAGTCAATTCTGCTGGAGAGGCCACGGACCCGACGACAAGTTTGCAGAAAAGGTGAGTCCAATCTCGATATGTGTTTCGAAGTCATGCGCTTTGCGAGGGATGAGCTGCCTCCACTTCCAAAGGCCCAGTCGGTGCTGGAAAGGCCAGCAGCGAGCAACCAACAGATGAGATCCTCTGCAAGTTTGGGCACTGTCGACTGCAGTCATGGCATGCAGGCTGCTGCAGCAGGAAAAGCAAGAGGCTGGGCGAGGTGCACAACAGTCGAGCTTGGAACCCGCCCCACGCGCAGTTGCGGCTGACCTGCCAAATCAATGGCCAGACGAAGGACTCTGGCAAGCTCTTCCTCGAAAAGGCTCCATTGCCATAGTCCCTTCATTCCATTCTTGAAGCCGTCACATCACTCCAGCACAGGTCGCCAACGGCGCGTCTCACAAGGTCAACGGGACCAACGGGACCAACGGGACCAACGGGACCAACGGGACACATGGCACGAATGGAAAACTGGAGGCGCATCCTGGGAAATGCCGCGCCGCTCGTGGTGCTGTTGGTTTGCAAGTGCACGCACGTTTGCTGGCCATGTTGCCTTGAAGGCCGACCGATTTGTGACCAATGGAAATGGAGCAGTCGTTGCACTGTTGCAGGACTAGCTGTTCCATGGGCATTCGACAGTTGAGTCTGGGCAGGAATCAAAGGCACACATATCATGTAGTAATCTGGAAAGTCTGTTGTATCATATTGTGCTTGTTCTAAAGCTGTTTCCAGGTCATGTGCATTTATGGGGAATATAGGGATGAGAGCCTTGTCATGACGGTTGCCCCGAAGCTTTTCTTCTGCCGTGCAAAGTTCCGCACTGTTTTCACTCACTGGAAGACATTGGCTGTCCACGACTTGACTGGTCGAAATGCGTAGCCGCAGAGCTTCGTCGATGACGAAGCACATGCGAGGCCGGATGTTAAGCCCCGTCGCACGCAGTGAGTGCGGGTGTGTACTGTGTTCCTCAGGAAAAGAACAGAGATCCGGCTTGCACCCCCAAGTAATGAGAGCAGTCTACTTCCTATTGGGCTGCCTACTAGCTCCTCTTCGGCTGCAGTGCGATGTGGTGCGCAACGGTGGGTGTCATCTGAAGTCTCAAGATGTGTTTATATGTTGAAGGTATGTGCCCTGCTTTTGACTGGTCTATCATTTGTGCATGATCTTGCCTGTGTACTTGTATCCACGAGGCTGCACACCTGTGCAGGCATGGCCACTTCATGTGAATCCGACATGGCTCGTACATGTGCGCGGTCACCTCGACGACTTCAGGCACTTGTTCTCATTGCTGCAGTGTATTTCAACATGCAGCACCGTCCTCCCACCGTTTTCGTGGTACTCAGCATTTTGCCAGTCGTAGCGAGCCCTCTCAGATGTGGCATGTCTGCCAAATTCTGACGATGTCAGGATCAGCTCCATCTTCGAACAGTAAGGCTACTGTACGACTTGAGAGTGCTTTCAGGGCAGATTTTGCCGAACATCATCGGGCAAGTGCATAGTACAGGAGCAAGCCCAAGAAGTCTTGGTTTCCTTGTGCCGTTCCGTTTGTGTGTATACACCAGCCACCAACGCATCGCAACCTGTAGCATCAGCCATCACTTGCCGAATAAATGTGTACTGCTGGTCCTGATTGTCCCATGTACGCACTCACTCCACAACGAATGCAACGTTTTTGTGCTTACTGTGTCGTCAGAAGCAAGTCATGTAATGGTCTCGGAATGATTCTTGATCGCGGTGCGAAGTCTTGCAGTCAATGCCAAGCGGCTTGCAGGCCCGAAAAGAGCCACGAGTGTCCTCAGCATGCTGCATGCTGGATGTGGTGAAGTCATGTAACGTCTCAAGATTGGAACGGACCAGCTCACTGTCGGGCTCTGAGGTGACCGATGTGAAAGTTATCTATCCTTTCCTTGCACCGTGCTGTTGGCCCTGTACGTCGCAGCCTGGACAGTCCTGCCACACTGCTACCGTCACATGGCCTTTCCGATACTTGGGTCTTGGTGTGAACAGCGCAATGCGGCAGCTGAAGAAGCGGAGTGCGGGTGCGGCGCTGCTCCCAGGCGCAGAAACCAGACCTTGCATGTCAAGCCAAATTGTGTTTCACTGAGCTGTTCCGTGCACACCATGCATCGGCGAGTGCGATGGTTTGATGAATCTGGCAAAGCTGACAGACCGATACTCATGTGCATGATCATCGCATCTACTGCCTTTGGGACTTGAAACTGAGCATCTACACAACCGCTGCCAATGCCCACTGCTCGCTGCGGGGGGTACGCGAGGAAGCAACAGAAGCCCCAGGCATTGTTTCGTCCGCGGACATACTATCAAGCCCGGTTCATTATTGTTACTTCTCTTCACACCAGTTTTTAACAAAGGAGTGGCAAGCCATTGCCGCACTGTTTGGTTTTTTTTTGCACCCCCTGTGATCGCAATAGTAATTAGGTCCCCCTGCACAGCCCTCCACAAAAAAGAATGGTTATAATACCAACAATAGTAATCATGAGAATAAGCTTAGAATAGTAATGATAATCGAAAATTGAGAATAACGATAACAGTAATCATATTCAGAATCATAAGAGTCGCAATCAGAGTTATGATCACAATCATATCATAATCATATTTTAGAACATAATCATAGTCACAATAACAAAAATCATCAGAGTAATCAGATTGATAGTAGTGATAGTAATAGTACAAACAGTGGCAATAATGGTAACAATACTGCAATAACAATGATACCAGGAAGAATTGCAATAATTTAACAATAGTAGTAATAGTACTTATGGTAATAATAGGAAAAGTAGTGATAGTAGAAATGCTGGTAATAATAGGAATATAGGAACAATAGGAATAGTAGGAAAATAGTAGTGATGGCAAGAATAATATAAATAGTAATGATAGTACCCCCCCACAAGTAAACAACAACAATAGAATGGGAAGCCATTTCATTACCATTGTTCTGCACAATAATAATGAAAATGCCGCACCCCTCACCCAGCCAGCCTCCCTTCCCAACAAACGGCAAACCCTGGAACGGGAAACCAGTTGATTGGCATCATTATTTGACCCCTTCTCAAATTGCAATAGACAATGCGCCAAGCGCCCCCCTCCATCCAGGCTGCTTCTCAACAACACTCACAATGGAATCGGACGCCATTTTTAGAGTATTTTTCGCACTCATCCCAACAACAGCAGCAATAGTGCTCATACTAATACTATCTAATATTCATTCTCGAACGACTTAATATTAATGCGAAAACTACACCAATACCAACACTAACACCACTATTTCAGTACTGGCATTAATACTGATACTAGTACTAGTATTGGTACCGATGCTAGTACAATTACTGGTGCTGGCACAGGTACTAGTATCAGGATCTGGTATTATTATTACTACAATACTCGTACTACAGTACCACGGCTACTGCTAGTACTACTACTGGTACTAGTAGTCGTACTAGTACTAGTGTTCGTACCAATGCTAGTACAATTGCTAGTACTAGTGTTGGTACTAGTACCGTTATTGGTATTTATTTTAAATGCTTCGCGTCGTCCGCCTCGGCAAGGGTCTACTTGAAGGCAGGTGCATTGTTGGGGAGGCACGAAGTGCCGTGTTGACAAGTAGATGCTCTTTAACCTCAGGGGTTGGGAGAGGGCGGGAGTGAAGAAACTTCGCGTGGCCATTTTGGCACAAGGATGTGCCAATCAAGATTTGATACGGGGGTGGGGGGCAATGTCTACGTTGGTCCCGTCTCCGGAGGTGCTGGAAACTTGGACCAGCATTGATGATGCCGTAGCCTGGTCGGGGATACTGCAAAATCAGATTCGGGCTGTTGCCCGACAGCTGGGTGATGCAGATATGCGTGACCTGCCAGTGTTTGCAGCTGTATCTGCCGATGAGTGGGAACAAGCGTTAGATCAAGCTCAAGTGGGTGCTAGATCTTTGGGCGCTTTTGAGAAAAGCAAATTGCGAATGCTGGCGAATGCTGTTCGTGCGAAGTTCTCTTTGGGCCCAGTCTTTAGTGTTGCTGCGGCAGTGAGGACACCGGACAGCACGGGCAGCACTGGCAGCCCCAGCTCTGTTGTCACCAAGGTCAAGTTAAAGCTCAGTCAAGTGATTGACCAAGGTGCAGATCATGATTGTGAGATGTTGCCGATGGCTGAGTTGATGGCCTATCGACAGAGATATGCCGATGTCACCGGCGACGCACCGCTGGAGAAGGAAGAAGTCACGGATGCACAGTTGTCCTGCTTGAAAGCAAAGCTGGATCTGGGTCAACCGCCTTTCATCGACATGGGCGTTTGGGGCGCCTACGGCGATCGTTTGGCAAGACAGATGAAATTCACGAGCCAGATGTTGAAGGATGGGCAATGGAAAGCAGTAGAGCTTCCAGGCGCCTCCACCATTCAGGCCTGGGAGGAGTGCTGGCGCATCTTCCGCACGGCATGCATCATGCTTGATGTTGCCTCTGCAGCGGTACTTGATCGGTACAGTGCGGAGTTCCGAACCAGAGTGTTGGACTACCCTGATGTCTGGCACTTAGCAGCGCAAGCAGACATACGTTGCAGAAGCGAATGGTGGGCACAAGAGCAGCGAAGACAGCTGGCATTCCATAGCTCGAATCCAAGCTTGGCTACGTACAACCCTAAGCAGCCGTGGAATTCTGTGATCAAAGCAAGTGCGTCCTACGCCGAGTTCTGGAGAAAAGAGTTTGAGCAGCCAGCTTTGAGGTACCAGTGCAATGGTCCCAAACCAATGCCGGCCAGCTTTGATCCACCGCCCGGCAGAGGAACCGGGACGCCGAGAGGGGAGAAGCGGAAGTTTGAACCGCAGCGCAAGGATGGCAGGTATTTGAAGCCACGCAATGGCATCAACATCTGCTACGATTGGTCTCGCTGCAAAGACGGCTGCTCCAACGACAAGCGCGAGAAGAATATGGCTCATGTGTGCGAGTGGTGCCGCCAACCACATCGCAGCATTGACTGCCCACAGATGCCTGGATGGACACCACCCGAGCCCAAGCCGGGTAAGGGAAAAGGAGGAGGAAAGGGCGCTGGCAAAGGCGGCGCCAAGAACCGCAAAGGTTGAGAAAGCTCGACGCAGCCCTTGTCGTCGAACACAGTTGCGCGGGATCTCCTAAAGGAGAAGCTTGAGCAGCTGAAGGCTAGAGTGGCGCAAGAGCAGAGCGATGACTGCATGCAGGATTCACACCAGTTCCCGGCACCGCAAGTTGGGAAGCAGCACAGTGAGGCCCGCTTCCTGGAGCTGGCTGCAAGTGAGGCAGGGCTGACGAAAGCTGTTAAGTCTTGTGGGGCTCGTGTTTTCAGTACCGTGGAGTGCCGCGACCTCTTCGGGAGTGACTCTTTTGATCTTTGCGATCTTTCAGTTTTCCGTAGTATTCGTAAGCTTATCAGACAAGGGCAGGTGAGGTGGCTGCATATGGCCCCACCTCAGAACACCTTCCTCAAAGGACGAAGGTGTTTCAAACGCCTGCGAACTCGGGCGCTCAGAAGCGCATCACACCGAGATCTCCTGCCGTCATTAAGGCGAACCTAGCGGCTGCACGCACGCAACGCCCAGCGGCGCGCAGGAGGCTACTGTTGCGGGCCCTTCCAGCCCACTGTTGTGGTCCTATGCCCCTTACAAGATGCTTCAGGGAAAGTTAGGGGTTACGATGATCGAATGTGACCAATGCAGATTCAACGGCGAATTCCAAAACCCGACTGCATGGCTCACCAATGGACCTTTTGTGTCCGTCCTAGCGCGCAAATGCCCGGGACTACCTGCACATGCTCACTCCGCCATCGGAGGAGGACCTGAGCTACCGCAAAGTCTTTGTGAGACACCAGCAGGCTCGTATTCGAAGTCGCTTTGTGAACAACCAGACAACACACCCTTGATGGTGGCTTGGAGAGATGCTTGAGTCGCAGCTTCTTCAGATGGACACAGAATGCCGCCTCGCGAAGTGTGGGAGCCTTACATTCTGATTCGAAGGAGCCTGGAGACAAGTGCCAGAGGTGGCAGGGTGATGGAATATTTGAGCGCTGCGACCCCCTGCCGAGCTAATATCCACGGATAAAAAGCCGCTGAGCTTTTGGTTTTCCATGCCTTTGGCCCTCAAGTCTTTCAGCCCAGCCGTGCGAGATATCACGGTGCACAGGAAGCTAAACTGAAAGCCTAGCCTTCTCTTCGGAACCTTTATCAGGTAGGCTGTAACGCTCCGTCTGACTTCAGGTCTAGATTAGATTTTGCAGATTGACAGCCTCATCGTGTTGTTGTGTACCTTAAGCCTACCCTAAGCTTGCGTATGTGACAGACGTGCACCTCTGCACCGAACAGTGCCAAGGTTCTGCGACCTATGCGGCGGAAAAGTCTTTGCACACTCTCTGACACACCATCGCAAAAGTTGCAAGAAGAAGGCCTTGCAAGGACATGACATAGTAAGCCCTTTCTGAACATGTTCTGATAGTCACTGATAGCACGGATAACGCTCTTGAATGCTGGCGTTCTTATCAATTGGCTTTGATCGTTAGCAGAGAAGCAGGACTGTCGAAGCTCCAGCTGTCTGTGCTCTTACCGCTGCATTGAACTCCCTGTCCGTTTTTGAGGTTCAGAGTCAGATGCATGAATGTGTGTACTGCGCTATGGCCACCTTCGCTGCTGTACTCAATGCTTGCGCCGATGGACTCGCCGCCACGTACCGCCACATGCGAGGTTGGGAACCAAGCCTGAGCAGCTGCACGTGCGTGAGTAAGCAGGCGAATGAGGACGGGGGAGGGAGAGTCAGTGGAGCGTCGGAGCGTGTGAGTGAATCAGTGATCCAGTGAGTGCATCCGTGAGTCAGGAAGTCAGCCAGCGCGTCAGTGCCTCAGTATGTGAGACAGGGAGTCGCGTTGAGTTGCGTTGAAACGTGTTGAGTTGAGTGAGTGAGTGTGTGAGTGAATGAGTGAGTGACTGGGTGCAATCGACATAGTTGTGCTGGGGAATATCCCGTTCGGATTTTCCTGCATTTTTGTTTTTGCCTTTGCTGATCACGAAGGCGCACCAGATGAACCG